TCTTTAATCTCGGAGGAATTTTCCAGTAGGCCCGGAATATAAATTAATGAGATGAATTATCAGACGTCAAGTGAAGGTGAGCGTGCGGGCCAACCGTAAAGTGTGGTGGACACAGAAAGCCAAGGAGTTGAAAGATGTCTAGAAAGCCGATGCGATGGAACATCGTTAATCATCCGTGAGATCATCATGCATCGGGAAGGAGTTATTATGTCAAGCGTGAGTTCGAAAACTTTGACCAACAATTGCCATGGCCAACACCCAGCACCCATCTGGAACCCACACTTGATGTAGATCCCTGGACATTTAACGTTTAACGGGCTGGAGCCTTGGGGATTGATGACTGCATATGTTCCCTTAATTACCACCAATCCTGTCGTACGGATGTTCACCCACCGAACTTGTTCACGGATGAGGTTGAAGACCTCTCCCAGTGCATTTGTGATCTGTTCGCTTGTATTTGGAAAAGGCAGTTTGTTCGGAACTACTGGGGAGCCGTCAATAGTGCCCATTTTCCAAAGGGCACTTGTAGTGAGTGTTGCAAAGAGGGTCAGCTTGGCCCAGAACAAAATAAAATTATAGGCGTTGCTTGTGCTCCATCGCATGCTGATTACTCGTGGGACAATGTAACGAGAGCTAAAAGCGGAATTTTCGCCTGGTGGGGCACTCATCGACCAATTTACACTCCATCAGGTGCTAGAACAACGCCGTAGGTATAGGCGACCCACATTTCTTCTTTTCGGATTTACAACGCGCTTTCAACTCTGTTGACTTATTTGTTCAAATTGAGGCAATTGCTTATCGGGGAATTTCATGAACGCACGTGCACATAATGAACTCCTTGTATCCGCAGACTTCCGCACTTGTGAGAGCAAACGCAAGCTCTCTAAAAGCTTCCGTACGCACACTGATATCCGTCAGTTATGTCCACTCTCCGCATTCCTGTTCAAATTTGTGATCGATGAAACCGGGAGACGAACGCAGGAAGTCCTCCGGAAACCCGACTGTCAGATATTCAGTGTCTATCTGGAATACGCAATTCATACCATTTCCATTTTCGAAGAGGTGAAGACGCAAGTCCTCTTGGATGAACTGATCACAGTCTTTTTATCCATTGTCATGCACTTTGAGCGGACAACGTCAAAGGACATGATCCTGGGCATGCAATTACTGAAGAAAACGCCTACAATCAAGAGAAAAGCATTCGAAATTAAGCAGCGTTTTACGTATCTTGGACGTTGCATTGATTCCAGCTGTCGTGTGACGCATGAGGTCAATCCAAAGCTCCGAAGGGCTCGTTCCGCATTTGCCTAATTTGGGTACCTATGGCGTTGAAGTGATGCATCCAATAATCTGAAAGGATGTGTGTATCGGACTACAGTATGGGCGGTTTTGTTGCATGGCTGTGACTTGCTTTTTTCGGACAGCGGAACTGAGACGTTCCAAGGTGTTTGACAGCCGTTTCTCCCAGAAGCATATTTCCTGTGGGTTACTGTCAGGGAATCCAAAGAGATGCAATTAGAAAGTGCGCCTTCTTTTGTGAAACTGGTACTTTTGAAAAAGATACATCGATTGAACAAGCTATCCAGCATGTGTTGCGTATAACGAAATATATTTTGCGGAAGAGACTGTCCTTTTTCTACACGGCGTGATCGCTACTACGCCTGTTCGGTGACACTACAAGTTATGGTCGCCAACCGACGGGCGGTGGCGTCCTTGTCAACAGTTTCTTCCCAGATTGCCTGAGTGAGTGCATCGAGGTGTAGGCAAATCGAAGTGATTGTTGTTGGACAACACCAAGTATACTCACATCACAGCTCTATTCTTAATTTGACTGACGACAGGAACTATTTCAGCGTCAATATGCGAAGCCTGTGCTTTCAAAAATTCATCGTTTTCACTTTGATCGAGTTGTATCCAGACAAATGTTCAACTTAGGGCAACCATAAGCAGTCAACTCACAACGGAACATTTTCTGGGTGTTAGCTCCGTGGTACGTCATAGATTTTTCCGCCACACTGCATACATTCAAGTTTACCGCCGCCGGGCAATGCGTTAACATATTGGTCGGCGTCGAAGGTACGCGTCACTGCTATGATGGCTTTCTAGGTTGCACGCATTGCGGTATACGAGCAAGCCCCAGATTAGTATATGGAGTGTATATATTTGTGCCATTTTTGCATGCAGCCGGCAAACGTTGTACACATTAATAATCGCCTTACAATTAGCCGTAAAACCAATGCAAGAGGCATTTTTTTAAACCCAATGTGTCGACTAATCCTAAGACGCTATGACGATGAAGATGAATTAACGGGATAACGGTTCACGAGCATACAGAACACCTCAAATTCTTGCCAGTAATGAAAACAACAAAGGAATTTGCGGTGGTCCTTCTCCATAAAATGAAACGATGTGTCTACCGTAGGATCCAGGTGTCAAAAAGCACATTAATCCACAACGCCACCAACCGTAATCGTTCATGCTGAAACAGCCACATTTCTCGGGTCATCGACTTACAGTGTTTATTTAAGCGATCAATCCCAGAATCAAGCTGCTGAGAAACGCTTTAATAAATAGCATTCAGTGTGGCATTCGCCTGAGCGATGCCACACCACCTGTATCAATTAGAATGAGCTCTCTCTAACCATCAGTATCGATAGAGGCCTATGTTGTATCCTGTGTCACCATTTAAGGGCAACGCACCAGAGAATATAGGAGTAATTCAAGTTTTATTAAATACAAATTGCCGGGTATGGAGACATCGATTTCTAGCGTCCGTCTCTTCGGACGCACCTCCGCAATCCAGTCCAGACGGCTGCCAGCTGCACGACTGCAGGGTCAACTTATTTGTGCAGGTCCTTCAATAATGAACCTTCACTCTCTTTCGCGCGATAGGTTCGAAATCGGTTTCGTTTTAGCCTCTTACAAATTTGTTAAAGTATTTTTTCGCTATTTATCATTCGCTCTTACTCTCTTAAGTGGTAACCCCAGTCATTTTGCGATCACCAACTATCTTGCATCCAGTCTTATCCATTATATTGATTTATATTGATTGTCCTCCGCAGCCATCAATGGATTAGAACAGCTTAAGGTGAAATGGCTGCACGCCGAAAGTAAAACGCGGTCTGCAATATCAAACCTGCAATGCCTGGTTTCACTTCAAGTGCACGGGTTTACAGGACGAAAAGATAAGCCCATCAGCTAACTCATCCGACCCCGACCTAAAGCTGGCACCTTGACGTGGTGGTCGGGCTTGAGTGCTGCAATAATTACGCGGGCTACACTGGCTGGAACTTGGTTGCACAAGGTACAACCATGCCGAGAAAGCCAAAGGATAGCAGCCAGACCAAGTGCAGCGAGACCCCGCATTACGAGTAATCGTGGTAGGATGCGGTCTAGGGGTAAAATTGTACTGTCTTCTGCGACAGGAGTGTGAAGTCAGTAAGGTGTTTCCCCAGGCGACCAGCATGTCCATATTTATGGAAGCAGCGATTCTGCCTTCCCCCGAGGAACGACGGATTAGAAAAGTCGGCCGCAGAAACCACATAGTCCGATCGGCCAACGACTACCTAAACAGTCGGTAGATTATGCAATACGGTCGAAATACTGGTAAAGCCAAAGAGCCCGGTGCTGCTGAAAAGTCACCTGCAGTGCGCAGCTGCATGAGGAATGAGACAGTAATACACCATTCCCTGCGCACTTGCGCTAGGCCGTCCCCCTGCAGCCGAGCAGGTCAGACTACTGAGTCATCGGCTCCGGGCACGGTCTACGAATACAATCATATATTCTCCCACTGCCTCGTGGGTCAAGCTTTTGAGTCAGGGGGTAGGATCCCGGTCCCCGAACAAAACCCTGCGTCCTCCCACTGCCCTGTGGGTCATGCATTTCAGTCGAAGGCTCAAGGTGGGGTACCGCAACCGAACCCCTTTCTCGGCCAGGGCAACCGGGAGGTATCATTTCTCCTCGCGTATCAGCGTGCACCGATGTCCCCCTCAAAACACTTCCCAACGCACAAGCAAAAATCGCTGGACCATTAGACTGCTATTAACCTGACCGAAGGGCTGTTAACGTTCGTACTCTATGTTAAATTGACAAACAGGCAATGCTTACTGAAACATTGTATTACCTTAAAATTGATGTATGGTGTGTCCCTGAAACACGCATACAAGTGCCAAGCGTGGTTGAGCATCTCAGAATTCCAAAAATGAACGCAGCTCCTCCACGTCTCTTCTTCCGTGTGTCCGGTGACCCAGAATCGATGACTCTTGGAATATATGGCGCGGGAGTTGCACTTACCCACACAGCTGAACGCACTTTGCTAGATTGGATCCCAGTGAACAGTCGTCTCTGCGCCGTCCGGCTATCCAGTTCAACCAAGCTCAATGCTTCCCAGCATAAAAACGGTGCTTGTGTGGTGTCGGTTTATGCTCAAAAGGACTGCAGTTCTCATGCGGAGATCGATACATTATTTCGAGAGCTCTCCGGGCTCACTTCTTAGAAAAAATTCACCGACATTTCCACCCTCGCAGGTGATTCGAACGCTCAAATTTGGGTGGTCGTTTTGGAGTCTATTCTCGCGGCACAAACAACGGGGATCGTGTCCTTCAATTGTGTGCGGATCAAGATGTGTTCCTCTCAAGTAACCTGGAGGCGGCCAACTACAACTCGAACGTGTACCCAGCTGGACCATGTGAACATCAGCCACCGAGGGATAGCCACAAATTCAGACTTTCGGTCATTCCGGGGCACACCACTTGATTCCGATCACGCCTTGGTGCGCGCATGCTCGACAGTTCGTTTTCCTTCAGGCCCTTGCAATCGGCATGCAGCACGCCAATCTACTATCTTCGACGGACTGCCACAGCTCAGCATTATCCATCTGACCTGGCCCAACCACCCCTCACAGTAAAACAAATCTGTGGTGGCAGTGAGCATGTGGATAAAGCGGCGTTCATTGCTGCCTGCCCGACTTCTCCAATTCGACCACAATAACACTGAATGTCGTCGAGGTTGCTAACCATGATTGATGCCAGGAAAGCAGTACCAGCAGGCACCGAGTACGATTGCGCACGCAAATCCCTCAAACGTCAAATAGCAAAGAGTCTAGCGAAAGAACGAGAGCTCTGGTGGACACCGAAAGCGCGAGAGATGGAGAACGCTTTGCTACGGGAAACAACCGAGCCATTTACAAACTGATACGATCGACTGTCCCTAGGAAAGCAACGGTCAGGAAATGGTAAGTGAAAAAGATGGCTCATTTGCAAAAACGCCGACTGGAGAGATGGGCCGAACACTTCAAATACCAGTTCAGCTGGCTCTCTGCGACACAGTCAGTGGAGGTAATGCATACTGGCGAATGGAACGTAAACCTTGATCGCCCTTCGGAAGAGGAAATAAGGTACGAACTAACCGTATTGAAACGTGTGATGCACCAGGACCGGACGGTCTGTATCCATCCCCCTTCAAAAAAAGGCGCAAAATCCCTGGTGAGTCACCTGACAAAGCTTATTGGTGCTATATGGGGCGAAGACAAAACGCCTGCAGAATGGAGCATGTCGACGGTTATCCTCATCTTCAAAAAGGGTACGCGGACGCTATGTGGAAACCACCGTGGCATCAGCTTATTAGCTACGGCGTGGCAGGTGTTCTCTGGCCTTATCTTTCGGAGGTTGAGTAAATGCACAGAGAGGCAGATCCGTGAAAACCAAGCTGTGTTCCGTCCTGCAAGAGGTTGCATCGACCATATCTCCACTCATGACAGATTCTGGAACAGCGACACTGCTTCCAGCAACCAACAATATGTTTTTTCTTAATCCGAAAGCTGCATTTGAATCTGTGGACCACCAAGCATTATGGCAGTGTCAAAGTTGTCACTCATAAATTTTTCACCCTAATTAAGGCGGTGTACGCCAACTTCTTTGGCCCACTGGTCTATGGGAATTATTCTACTGAATTCACAACATCCAGCGAGCAACAGGGCTCTCCTCTTTTCACCTTTCCTGTCCAACCTCGTGATTGATATGATTATGGAAAACTCACTACCAACATATTAAATAACCTATATAATCCTGCCTCGCGGCTCGACATACGCTCCACGCCTGCTAAATGTAAAGTGCTACTTCAAAACTTGGTGAGCTCGAACCATAGCCTTATGTTTGCGGATGTATCCATTGAGGCAGTAGAAAATTTTGTTTACCTGAGCAGCTGTATCATCCCAGTGGTCTCACGAAATATGATATTTCCATCCGGATTGGCAACGCCAGGGCAGCTTTTACAAACCTACCTCACATGTGACATAGGCGAGACATCAGCTT